AACAATGCTTTTCCTGTACCAGCCGAGTGCGACAACGGCAATTAGCGCCTCCGGCTGGCAATATGCGCATAAACCGACGAAAAATATATACGAGAAATGCTAATATACGTGCGTCCTCTCCGGACCGCCGCAATGTTGCGCTAAAAGCATGTACGTTTTTCTCGTGTGATTATTCCGTTTTGTCGTCAACGAATATTTCCACAACGAAGCTAATCGAATTCCTTTCGAATTAATAAAAACCTTATTATGATCTTATATAAGCTGTGTGTGTGTGTGTGTGTGTGTGTGCATTAATATTTCTGCAATTTCACGCTCATTGAAATTCATATTAGACGTGTCTTTTTTCAAGTTAGAGAATATAAATCGAAAATGCAGCGTAATGCTTTTAATAAAATAAAATAAAAGAGATAAAATTAAAATTGACAAAGACCGTGTGATAAAAGACAAAGATAAGTGGGGTCTTTGCAATCATACAATTGTGCGCGTAACATGATAGAGCAATAAGATTTTCCGGACCCCTCTGGCTGAGGTGCAGTAAAAATATCCTACGCGAAAAGAAGGGCGGCGTGAAGAGGTAGAAACGGCCTCAATTCGATCGTAGTGAATGGAGATTGTCGAGATAAAATTGCGCGGATATAAGCACAATCCCGTGAGACAAATAAACTATTCGTTCCTACTATTCGTTGACCTACAGAATGATTGTCTCAAGATATAAATCTGCTAAATGTGAGTAGAACGAACGCTGCTGCATCATCAGCAGCACATATCTAATGCTAATGTAATAACATACACAGATAGTGTTAAATAATTTTAATAATCACAATCACACATTTAGCAGACGTAATTTTTTTATTAGCATATTAAATAATCTTCAATTAATTAGGATTTCATTTTAACAAAAAATAAGAGAGAAGCGGAAAACATTTTTCAAGTTCGAAAATACAATTATTAAAGGAAATATGAAAATCTATATAATGTTTTAATGCGTTTAAAATGACGTATAAAAAATGAAAAGCCCAACATGATCGAAAATTTCGGACTGCCTCGTTATATCAATTTATATCTTTATCTCTATACTTTTTTTTTTAATCGGCTTAATGTTCGTAATACTATCAATTCGGAATAATAATCGAACTGGTAATATTACGTCCAAAATACGTCTCTCTTTCACATTATCAGTTAAAAATTTCCAGTTTTTAACGATTGCATTTTCATCTTGAAATCAAGCGAATCGAGTGCTTGTGGCATGGCAATTATATTCGCCAGGCAACGAAACGGTTGTTTATGAAGGTAGCAAAATCAATAATCTGGCTCCATCCGGCAAAATATTGTAATTTTAAATGTCGTATCGGTGCACTATTTTTCAATTAATTGCCTTATAACAAACCAGTAAATACTTTATAGTCTCGAATCTACTTTATAATCTCGTTAAAATTTCGCGATTTCTCAGCACAGTGTAAATTTGGTGAGTAAACACATTAACGATAATTCAAAAATACCGTTATATTAAAAAAAAAAAAGTCATTTTTTATCTCTAATTTATGAAACTAGTCAAATTGGATTTTGGCATAATTTGGATTGGTCAATTTCGTCTCTCGGTATATTTATTCGTGGGAATCATCTCTACTCACAATTGAAATGCTGTTCTAAATACTTAGAAAATATATCATACAAATCGCTCTTTGACTGACACACAATTAGAAACGACTGCATAACCATCTCGGAATCAATCCGATATTAATTATCGGACTAATCGAAGTTACGTTATAGCGAAGCCTCACATGTGCTTTGTGTAACGATTTGTATTTCCTAGTAGAATACTGGGAATATACTATTGCTAGTCGGACGTTCTGATCTCTCGAATGTGTTGCAACACGTTTCATGATGAGATAGAGATAGATAAACGCACAGATAGATAGATAGAGAGGGAGAGGAGTAGGGAGGGGGGGGGGGGGGGGG